TTATTTGCCCCTTTTCTCATTAAATAGAAAACAATTTCATATTCAACCTTTTTTTAAAAGTTTTAAGTTGTATAATAAAAGACAATTTTTTTTTCATTTTTTACCTCACTTCACTTACATATCAAAATTTTTTATTTTCAGTGAAAAGAGATTACCACTAAATTATTTATTTTTAACGAAATAAAATTACTACTAAATTTTTTAAATCGTTAACATATCCAATTATTTTTGTTTTATAATTTAATGTTATTTAGATGGTATTTACATCATAAATTATAATTCATTAAGTAATACCATGTATTTATAGGTACGATAAGGTCACATCAGATATATTGATTGAGACTCAAATCACTTGCTATATAAAGATAGATTTTGGGGAACAATGATAACTATATGATTAGTTTCAGTTCGAATTGAAAAGAAACAGAAACTAATATAATTTAGGAAGAAGTGCAATTCAAGGGTTGAGGTAGCAATAGAATGGCATAGGTGGTAAGATATAATGCAACCTTGACCTGGTCTTGCTAATATGTCCATTTTTTTTGAGAAATTATCCTTGTTTTGTAATAGCAAGTGAGTGAGATGGGAGTATAGTTCACAAAAAACAAATAAAAAAAAATTCAGATTATTTAACATACGATCAGCCCTATATACAACTCAGAACCAATTTTGGCATTCTTAGATTTTTAGTTTAGCTTATTGATTTCATCTTCCAACATAGTACTTTGTAGATTTTAGGTTGTTTTTAATATTCAAATAGTTAAATTAGTTCTTGGATTTGCTTCTACAACTGTATCTCATCTAACAAACAGTAAGTATTTAATTTCTACAAGGTACTATTTTTTTTTTTAGATCATTGTTTATTTCATGTTTATGATAAGTAGTGTTTTTCATAAAATAATTATTTATATAGTGTTCACCACTCTTCCTTGTTTTGTTTTCCATGTTAATTTAATCTTTATTCATACATGTTTTATGGTTAATTAGTTTTAAATTTCTAGTTCTATAGTAGTCTAATTTGCAAATCTGTCTATAAACATAGATTAATCTGGTTGTGAACATGATAGATTTAATCAAGATATGTTCATCTTTTGCAAGTCTACTTTAGTTTGCATCTCATTTAGTATATTTAGAATCTATTAACTTTAAATTCACAATATTCACAATCCTGAGAATTGTCCAAGGCAAATTAGCAATCCATCTATAAGAAGGCATTCCTTCCTTTTGAAAATTGTTTGAGGACGCAGAATTCAATCTTAAACCAACATTCTTCCAACCATCTTAATAGAAGTTGACCGCATGAAAGAAAAGAGTCATTGGAAAAAAAAATTTTCCTTTCTTTTCGAAGAAGTAAATAATATGCTTGTATCTAGATTTGTTCCATGCGAAATCACTTGAAAATTTTTGAGGAAACAAATGATAAAGTATGTTTCCTTATAAATTTTATTATGTTTAAAAAGTTACTAAAAATTACGAATTTATTGAAATCATTTTCCTTGCAATAACAAAACGGTGTTTAGCCGCTTTGACCATATGGACCGCAAACATGATGGCCCCGTGATTAATGAGGCTCTTGCCGGACGAAAAGCTGGAAATCATGAGGCTTGTTCTTATGTGGTAAGTATTCCACCTTTAATAGTATCATTTCTTTCGAAACAATTATTGAATTTTTCATTTAGATGCACATCTTGTATATTATGTATGTGTACAAGATAGAGACTTAACAGGGACTTGAATATTGGAGGTAGACCGAGTCAGACAAAGAAGAATATGAAAAAGGAAATAATTAGGATGAAAAAAAAAAAAAAAAGAGTGTGTTAGACATTCTGCTGAAAAGGGAGGTTGAAAAGGAGATGAATGAGGTCTTATATGATAAATGTGATTTTTAAAGTTGTGAATATGTATCAAATCAGGGTTTTGATTACTGATTAGTGAAGAAAATAGCCAAATTACAATCTTTTTTACTAGTTCTTTTTTCCTTTGGACCACATGATGCCGTGTAGAGGCAAGACTTCTTTGTTGATCTGTTACACAAATATTGCACACTACTAATAAATAGATATTTAGGCACTTTCTTGATTTGAGATTGGTTCGGGCCTAAAGGAAGAGGGAGTATTTTTGGGTCCATCCAACGTGGTTGAAATATCTTTTGAAGTCATCATACATACATATCAAGATGAAATGCACCAAAAAAGCCAAAAAGGTTATCTTTATGCAATGTGCTTTGCTTTTGGAGAAAGGATGGCCTGCCTCAAATCCATATATAACAATAAAAATATTAGCTCCGATCTTCGTTCCTTTCTTCTTCTTTTTTTTTTTCTTTTTTACAAGAACATAACAATTAGGAATATTTTGAAAATGTTATTAGTTTCCTATTATCATCAAGATTAGTTCATTATTATTAGGTTACATAAGTCAAACAAAGGAAATATATTTACCAGTACAAGAGATACTTAAATCCATTTATAATTTCTAATAAAAGTTTTATTGAATTCATACTCACTAATTTAAAATTTTTAATTTAAAATTAAAATTAAAAATATAAACTTCTATAATACTAAACCATTATCCCTCTGATATTAAAAAAAAAAAAAAATCATGGTAGCAATCCATTCCCTGCTCCATCTTTCATTTGACGTGCAGCAATATCTAAGATTTATGAGCTAGTCTGAAAATAAAAGTATCTTACACTTTTTCCCTTTTTTTTTTATAATATGTAAAGAGTAAGAATTGAACCATAGACTTTCTCTTTTCTTCATCCACTTGAAAGCTTTAAGCTGCATGAAGTTAAGCTGCATGAAGTCAAACATTCTTTTCATATCAACAGGTCCACTTCTAAAAACTTTCTGATTCCTAGTGTTCCATATTGTCCTTACAAAGAAAACCAAACCACAGCCCACCCCATTCGTTCACTAGTTAAGAAGCACATGTCCTCATGTTGCACAATTGAATTCCAGCAATTCTTGGCTCTGTGGTAATAGCACCATTCCAAGCATTTTAGCCAAATGTTTGAGGCAACGGAGCAACGCAAAAGCAAGTGATTGCTGTCCAAAATATACTCTTCACCGAGCAATACACTCTAGAGTGTTCATCGGCCTCCATGCATGTGATCTTTATAGGTTTCATTTAGGCCTCATTTGGGCTTCCATTCTGGTTTCATGTGGGCTTCATTTTTTCCCCTTACAAATTGGATTTAACATTCAATTTTCATCCTGCTACTCTGTTCAGAGTAATGCTGTTTTTCTTTTTTGCACAGCCTGTTCAAAGTCATGCTTACATCTCCAATTGTTAAGACCACACAAAACATTAATATTGTGAGTATTTTTTATGTCTGATTTTATCTATTTATAATTGTTTAAGTTATTTAAAAATATCAATTTATTGCCTGATTTTAAACCACAAGCAATAAATATTAACTATTCTATTAAATATCGATTAATAATTACATTAACTAATCATTCCTAATAATCAAATTAAATACCATTATAATTATTTTGTGTTACATTAACAATTAGCCATGTAACCATAACCCCGCTCCCCTCTTCATCTGATTCTTTTCCTTTCCCTTTCTTCCCCTCTTGCTTTGTCTCCCATTTCATCTTTCTCTCTTTTCTTTTTCTCCTATATCTTGTAGTTTTATTTTACAGGATCGATGAACCCGCTTTGGCAATTTATATTTTCATATTTGATCCGATCTTGATATTAGATGTGTTTATATAATCATTATGAACCATTAACTAATATTACCATTAGAGTTAGATTATTGATATATTTTTTTCAAATTTAGAAGTTATGATATATGGTTTTAGCTTCTATTCCTCTAGGAGTTGAAATCAACTTTAAAAAAGAAAACCTACATTTAGTTCAACTTTAGTTTCTCCAAGACCACAACAGACTTTTTAAGAAATTGGACCAAACAGTGTATATTGAGTGGTGACGATGTCCTTCCAGTTCCAGTTAAGCCAAGAGTAATTCCATATCCAAAGTGAACAAGTTACAGCCCAGGATCCTACCAGTTACGCCAACAAAATATGTTAGAAGCTGCCAAAGCTAATAAGCTTTACTTCAGTACGTAGTTAATACCTACCAAAAAGAAAGACAAAAGACGGTCCCATGCTATTGCTTCTGTGAATCAAGGACATGAACTTGCAATCGTCGAAAACTACTTTCGGCCTGCAAAAACAAACAAAAAAAATAGAATATATTGGTTAAAACTAAGTTGCTATTGGCATGATCTACTTCTATGTTTCTGGTAGACTCAACATCTAGTTCTTTGATATTGCTTATTATTGTATACCAACATATGCAAAACAGTGCAACATTAAATACAAAAGCAAAAATCAATAAAAATAAGCAACCATGGACTCCAAAACAACTCAAATCTGAGACTTAAGTAAAAAGGGAAATTATTCAAACAGAATGTTTTCTTATAATGAAATGTTACAATCTTAGGTGGCAGCAATTATGATTTGCTTTTTTGACTTAGTGTGAGGCATGAATAAGTATACAAACTTACTAACCCTTAGTACTTTCAGTAAGATTTTAGAATGTCTTGTGCTTAAGCTAAATGCAATGGAACACAGAGAATAAGCATTCCAACATGCATCCCTAATTTAATTGCCAGTAAAATGTTACAAATGGAGAGACTAATAATTTGGTTATATTGAAGCATTTTAATTGTAAGGGAACAACAGTTCATCCTACGTAAAGTATGTGCTTTCTGAAGTAGTAACTCTGTATAAACCAGAAATTCCAGCACAAAACAAAAATCAAATTTTTAAAACCAAATTTGAATGATTTCCGTTAATGGACTAGAACTCATGTTGTGTACCAAATTAAGCATAACTATCCATATTGATTCTTTCTATAGAGTTTTTTTATCCTGTGACCCAAGCAGTGCAGCATTAAGAGTATAGTTTCCTATGCTTGCAGTGCTTAGAGTGGTCCCATACATTTTAGGATTCCTACGGGCATTTTTTAGGTTTGTAAGATGGTGAATATCTATAGCAAATACTGAACAGTCATAGAGAGGATACCACACAAATTCATAGAAAGAACAGTACACAAAGTCACTCAGTAATCACTACAGTATACTACAACTATTTTCTTGTCCTTTTTTTTTTTTCTTTTTCAAATGTAACACAATTGACAGTTGGAATTTAAGAAACTATAGCTATTTAGTTCTACAAATAGAATTGAATTTGTCGTGACATGTTATTGCAATTTAAGGATGAGTATTTTAAATTGTTAGTATGATGAAAGAACATGTCATGATAAATTCTATTTGTAAAACTAAATAAGCAACTCTCAATTTCATTACACTTAAAAATATATATATATATATAGCTGCATTATATTGTAATTGTAGTGATAAGTAAATTTGTTTACTACTCTTTTCTATATTTTGTATTCTCTCTATAGCTATGTAGTATTTGCTAGATATTAGTCATGTTACAAAACTCAGAATTATCCATAGGATGGAATTTAGCATGTAATGCACCATGTATAAAACCTCTTAGCACTGCAAGCATTGTATCAGTGCATGCTATAATGAGGGGAGGATCAATTTTTCATTTTTGAGTTTTCCTATCTTGTGGCACAAGTTAGAAGCCATTTATGCCCCATTTTTGTTTATATTCTGCACTAGGAAGTCAATGGAAAACCTATGTTTTTAATTGATCAAACATAACCATCCAAGACCAACAACCTATTGATCCAAGTTGAAGGAACTTAATTCTCCTTAAGCAAGATCTCGAGTTTGAATCTTGTGAATGAAAAAACAAACGCTAGGAGAACTTGTTCTGACGTAACTTGACTTTAGATTAATCGGAGCTCAATGTGATTTCTAAATACTGAAGGTTCAATACAAAAAAAAAAAAAAAAAGAAAAAAAAGAAAAAAAGAAAGCATAACCATCCCTTGGTTTTGATCGATAAAATTATATCTGGAATGTAATGCCATATGAATGACCATGATTATACAATTAAAAAAAAATTAAGATCTATATTTACCTTTTCATTGAGAAAGGAAGCACTTAATGTTTCTTATTAGGTGCCCTTTAACTAGGATTTATAACTTTCTAATAACTTGCTTATAATACATTTAAAAGCTAGACTAAAATTTTCCAATTTTCCCTCCAACATATTTTGAAATTAGTGAGAGAAAGTTTTCTAAAAAGTAAACTTGCTTTTAAGCTTTAACAAACAACCCCATAAGAACCAGTTGGGCCACACATAATGAGCACCTAAATCAATTACCGTTCAATAACTTTAAAAAGCCTTTCATGAAACATTCTTCCAACAAAAAAATTCTTTAATCAAAGTGTTGTAAAAAGCAGGCCTAGGCAGGGCACCTAGGCTCTAGGTGGTGTCATTCCCCCCGCATCAGTCTCTAAGCAGAAATTCAATGCTATTTGTACCGCCCAAATCAATTAAGCACACCCAAGCATTATTAGGCGCGTTTAATAGCGCCTAAAGCGCCTGAGCAAATTTTTTTATTAATTTTTTAGCTTAATAAAATGATGTTATTTAATTTATTATAAAAATTATATTAAAAAAAGGTTAAATGCTAAGGAATTCCTTTAAATCTTGCTCTTTAGACATGATAATGAATAGAAAAATGTTTAATTTTTCTATTTATTTTATAATTTTGAAAGTTGTTTTACATTTTTTCTTACTTTATTAGAATTATATCAAAAAATTATTATTAAAAAAAAATGACCTAGGCAGCCTAGACACTACTTATGCACTCTAGGCTCTAGGCTCTAGGCTATGAGCAATCACCCACCATCACCTAGTGCTTTCTACAACCTTGTGTGTGCCCAACTAGCATTATACTTGTCCAGTAGGCATCCATATTTAAGCCAAAATCACATTTGGCTTCATGATATATTTGGTACCAATTGCCACATCATACTTTTGTTAACGAAGGCTAAATAATGAGGAGAACAATTAAGGGCTTGCTTTAGTGGTTTTTTTTTTTTTTTTTTTTTTTGGTATTTATGTTTAGATGCCCCATGCCATCTTTTGCACACCTCAAGACTAATCCCTTCCCAAGTGATTTTAAGGACACACCCCCACATCGATCTAGTACATTCAAGAAAATTAATTTTCTTAGACACTAGTGCCAAAACTTGAACCCTAAACTACAAGATGACATCTGTTTATCAGTGGGTCTAACCCTTGGGGTTAGGGCTTGCTTTAGTAATGTTGCTGATTTTGGTTTTTGTTTTTATTTCTTTTATTTTTTGCAACTAATACCATATATATTAATTTGTAAATTCTTATACATATACTAGATTAATATATATATATATATGGTATTAATTGCCAAATCTAAAGCTATAGAAACAAAAACAAGAAAACATTACCAAAAAGCCCTAAGTTTAACGAGAATGTTGGAATCAAAAAGTGTATAGGGACCCATTTGGTCATTGTTATAGAATATTTAGTTTCGCACCATTAGTCAACTATTAACCTTATCACCATTATTATTAATTGAATATAGTTAGGATGATTGATTTTATACTTTAGAATATTCTTTTGTATATAGGTTCTTTACAAAAGAATACTCTGAAGTGTAAAATCAATCTATCCTAATTCATAATAGTTAATAGCGTAAATAACTGAAACTGATTAATGATGCAAAACCAAATATTCTATAACAGTCCTTAAAATTCAAGTTTCTAGTCAAGTCAACCGTAAATTGTAGATTCTCTCAATAATGTTCTATATTCAAGAAGACTTCTAACTTACTTCTAACTAATAATAAGCTATAGTGGAACGGCAAAACCAATAATAATAATAATAATAAGCTATAGTGGCATTACAGCAATATATCGTGTTTGATCTTTTTCGCGTCTACCAGCCCATCTTGATTATCAAAAAAAAAAAAAAAAGGGAAAAGGGTTAGTCTGTTTTTTATCTCACGATGAACACCATCTCTTGTTTCAACCCATTCTCATTTCATTTTCATGTAATTAAGATGTCAGAAGTAGTAAACATAGTAGTCATTTAATGAACAAAGCGTTAATTAAAGGGTAATAAAGGGATTGAGAGGATTTACTTGCTCGGGTACGTTTTGCACTCTTGTCCAACTTTGTGACTTCTGAACCCTTGTCATCATTTTCATTTTCGACATTATCTTCATTGTCTTCTGCCTCATATGCCCTAATAATGTATACCTAAAAAAATACAATTGAAATAATTACAATAGGTAGACAAAGTATAATGTTCAGATTTTATATTTAAGTGTGTTAAAACTTATATGTATTCAGCCAAAAATCAATTGACCCTCGGTGAAGAAGCCTAGCTTATTTTGTTAGACCACATGAAATCCAAATTTTAATCAATGCGGGATGATATCACTCCTTACATGTAGATTCTGGCCTAACAGTAAGCAATGAAAGGGGGACGACAACAAAAGAGACAAGAAAGAAACATAAGCTTTAAACCACACTAAAGCAACAAACCTAAAACCAAAAAAACTGGCAATTGCAAATTTAAGGACTTGATTGCATTGATTACTAAAAATAAAAGTTAGATGATCACTAAGGTTAAGACCATAAACCAAACCATCAAATACGTTTTTAACGCATGCTAAGAAGAAAAATTGTAAACAGTAAACTTCAGCTAAGAGAAGTTTAATGTGCCTGGTTAAATGGTAAATACCATGAGTTCAAACAAATTTACTTCTGATTTCATTTCTTTGGCCTGGAGAAATCAATTTTGCTTGTATAAAACACAAATGCATAAAATCTCAAAGCCAAGACATGTCATTCACGAATTCACTGTATAATTGTTGCCTTGAATTATCTAATAAATTTATTTGACAATCATACGGGTTGTAGTAATAGATTAACATGACTATGATAGCATAAAAAACTTGCCCCTTAATTACTAGACTGTAGGCATGAATGAGGTAAATGAAGTGAAAATTCAAGTGACAAGTCACCTTAAATTCTGTGGGCTTAACAAGATGGAATACTAATGCATCCCCATCTACTAGTTCATGATAAAGAGAAAATCCTCGCCACCCACCACTCAGGCCAGTTTTATCAGCAAGATATTTTGTTGGAAACTCTTCTCCTGCCTCATCCACCAAAGCCATAATTTCATCATGCTGGGGAAGGTGTGTCTTGCAAAACTGGACAGGCAAACCCTATTCAAGATTAAGATGTTAACAGATCAAAAACATAACCATCATTAAGAAATTATAATTTTTCAGTATCCTGCTAAAATTTAGAATTAACAATTTTTTCTTTTAAATTTTGAATGGACCATAGACTCATATTTAACTATTAAAAAAAGAAGCCAAAAACTTTCATCCCCAAAGTTGTATCCAGCTTTGAACTGTGGTCTATGGGCATTGTATAATATTGCTCTTATGTTTACAAGAGAGTTCTAGAACCAACAAGTGATGAGCACTGAATAAAATTTCTTGAACTATAAAAATTGTTGGGTCATAAAGGAATGCAGAGCTACCTTCTAAGGTGATGTTTGGTCGATGGTAATGGCTATCCTTTCGTCAAACTACATAAACAAGCTAAATTTTTTAAGAAGCTTTCTTAGGAATCCTAAGCCTTAATGTTAATAATTTTCACTAAAAAAAGGGATGAATGAGGAAAATGTATTCCTTACATGAATAAGTATTCCTTCATTATTTGCTAATGTAAAAGAAAAAATAGACATTAAGGTTTAGTTATTCCTACTTTCCTATGGAAGTTTCTTAATTTTAGCTTGCTTTTATTGTTTGACTGAAGAATAGCCATTATCACCAACCAAACAACCACGCATACTTATTTTCTTAGGAAAAATAAGACATAATTACAGTCTTTAGCTATGTGTTGTAGTAAATGATGAACTTACTAGCCAAAACCCCCCAGAAACATGCGATTGAAACATAGGCTTCACAAAACTTGGGGCATCTTGATCTAAAGTTGACTGAAGCTGTTCTGCTCTTTCAATTGCCCAGGTTCTTACTTCATCTGAAGCATAAACCCGGTTCAATAGATCTCTTCGTTGGTAGCTCCTGTGAATTACACCAGTGGAAGTATAAGATAATAACCACAAAATGTAAGGCAGTTTCCACTTGTCACGATCAAAATAAGAGACATTTAGAGTTACACCTTCTAGGCCTCTCCGAAGGTTCCAATGCTGACTGCAGAGATAAAAAAGGAACTGCATAAGCCTACATTACATAACACTTAGCTAAAAAGAGCTCACTTGAATTTGTACCTACTATTTATTTATTTAAAAAAAAGTCTAGAATACAAAGGGAGAAAAAAGGAAGGTTAAATAACCCGATTTGTTCATCAACCTTTCATTTTTTAACCAAATCTATTTTTAAACTTTAAAAGTATCAAAAATATTTTCAAACTTCAATTTTTGGTACCAATTTAATACGTGCCCAAATTCTCTGTAAAAAAATGTCATATTTTTTTAATTTCAATATTAAAAAAATATATAATTTAAGAATAGTTTTTTATATAATTTTTTAATACAAATTTATGTATTATTTAAATAATTATATCTTTTATTTATTTAAAATATATAATATTAAATACAACTATTCATTTAATTTACCTTAAATATAAATATAAGGGGTACTCCATTAAATCACTCACGTAGCTATGACTTAACCAGATCCAGATCAGTCATGAAAAATCAGTAATTTAAAACATAAATTCAACACAACTCCAAAAAAGTAAGAAATAAACTCCAAAGAAAATGATATTATAAACCTCATTATTCAAAATCCCAAAAATCTCTCACCTAGCTACTTTTGTTTTGTCAATTGGCAAGCTATGAAGGGAAATTGGTGGTCATGGTTGGATAGAGTTACGACCTTGTTAGGGATAATTTCATTATAACTTTATGATGCAGCCATGGAGATAGGGAGCGTCAAGGCTGTCTTTTTTGACAGTCATGGCTTCCTTGGGTTGGGTCTATGTGGCAGGTGGACATGCTAAGAACAAGAACGCTGGAGAGGGATCAGAGAAGGGAGAGGGATCAAGAGGACAATGAAGAAAGGATTAGAGAAGGGAGGGAAGAGACACTGGGAAGGGAGAGGGGATATCACGAAAGATGAAGAACACGCACAAAGGCACATTAATGATCTAATTTAATTATAATCATTAATTATATAAATATTTAATTATTAATTACATTTTAAATAACTTAATTTGTTAATTAATTAATTTTACAATTTAATTAATATAATGAATTTCATTTTTTATAATTTACTATTAAAATAAGGTGAATATTATTAGCACATAAACATAAATTTTACCATATTAATATTTTAATGAATGTGGCACTTCTTTGTAATATTGAGATTTATAAAATATGGCATTTTTAATGAAAAATTTGACTACATCAGCATTTAACTAACGAAAAAAACTAAATTAATACAAAAAATTGAAGTTTGAGAGCACTTTTGGTATTTTTTAAAGTTTAAAGATATATTCGGCTCAAAAATGAAAGTTGAGGGACCAAACGGCTATTTAACCAAAGAGGAACTGTGTTAGCCAATGTAGAAAAAAGCAATCAAAGAGAAAGAAAGAGCTTACGTCCTTGTAGTTCGGTTTGGGCTTGTCTGCAACACGGCTAGACCGTCTCACCGGCGTCAAGTCCACCGGCTGCCGAGGTCCCCGCGGCTTGACCTGCTTAGCCTGCGCAAACCTCAGAAGTCAGAATCACTTCCACACAAGACACGTATGCATACGCACGCAAATTAACGTTCAGATATATACTGACCGGAGATGACTTCGGGGAGGATTGATGAAAAGCCTGGGCGAGCTTATTGAGATTCAGCTCTTCCATTCTCTTCTTGTTCTCTTCCAGTCTCCTCTTGCGTAATTGCTCATATATTGGCTCTGATTCCACCATTTCTGTTTCTTGTGTCTAAGAATCAATTGATTGAGTTTTTGGAGACGCAAACGAAAACTTAGAAGAGAAGGGGAAGATGCGGTGAAAAGAGAGATTTGAATGGGAGCTGAAGGACCTGTTGCTGTTGGGACTGAGATCGAGGCAGAGTTGGTGGCAGATTTCTATGTTTGGTTTCTCGTTTTGAATTTCAAAATTCTAGTCACGTCAGCGTGTCTTTTCCCTCCTTTTAACGAAATAAATTAATTCTTACCTAAAAACAGTTATTCTAGCTTTAAAAGGGTTATTTTTTGGGATTTCAACGGAGTTGAAAAGCACTCACGTATATGCAAATTTATTGAAAGAAAGAAATTTAAATTTTACTTTTTAGGAGTTTTTGAACCGCACAAGTTAAATTTTATTAATTATATTATTTATAATTTAATTTATATTATATTTTATATTAATAATTTATTAAATTTGAATAACAAAAATTCCATGCAGGGCTTCGTCTGCAATTAGTTGGCCCCCGGCTTCCATTGCAAGGAGTGTTTCCGCTGCTTCTTGGTCATCATCTTCGTGATCATCATCCTTCGTTTCCGCTGCTTCTTGATCATCATCCTTCTTTGTTTCC